AACGGATCGCAACCCTCAGTGTGGCGCCCGTACCGGACCGGGACCGGCAACGGGATTGCAACCCTCGGTGTTGCGCCCGCACCTCGCTCAGCCAGTGAGCAGCCGGTCTGTATGTGGGATCCGAACCCTTGGCGGGAGTGCCGGCATGCTTCCCAAGCGGCGCACTGTAGCAGTGTGCCACCGGGCCGGCCCTACACCCTCCCTTCTTAAAGATGCAATGCAACATGCACATTCTCTCAGAAATACAACTCAACGTACACACGCACACTGCTTTCTTTCAAATACAACATGATGCACACACACACCCTCTCACAAATGCAGCTCCACACACAGACACTCCTTCATTAGAAATATAATACACATTCTCCTTGGAGAAATACAAAACACACACTTTTTTCTCTTAGAAATACTGCTCAATACACACACACATCTACATTTTCCTTTCAGAAATATGAGGGGTCTTCAAAAAGGTCGTGGAAAGATTTGTATTGTCTTTTTTTGGGGGGGAGGGCGCAGAGCTGGCCAGTACATATTATCTTCTAATTCCATTTTTCCAAGAACTTTCTTTTTGGGGGCAGCTGGCGGGTAAGGGGACCTGAACCCTTGACCTTGGTGTTGTAAAACTGCAGTCTAACCAACTGACCTAACTGGCCAGCCCACCCATGAACTTTCTGAAGTACCTTTGTACTACCTAATGCAACACACCAACGCAGGCACACACACATACTCTTCTTTCAGAAACAACACATATGCACCCCCCTCTTGGAAATACAACCTGACACACAGGTATATTCTCTTCTCAGAAATAAAAGCCAACGCAGATACTAACTCTGTCTCTCTCAGCCCCACCTCACCTCCGAAAACACAACCAAATCTCAAGTCACTCACATTCAGACTGTCTTCTCGCACTTATCCATGACACTTGCTCTCCCACACACATACGGTCCCCCAAGCAGCCAACTCATTACATGCCCAAAGCCCCTCCAAATACATACACTCCCAGGATTCACTGTGGACCCCTCCCCATCTTCCCCAATACCTCCACCTCCTCCACCTCTACCTCCTGGCCTGGCCAGCAGAGACTCACACGCCTACACACTGCACACACACATAGATACACATAGAGAGCTGCAAACACCGACATGCAAGTAGTCCCAGAACTCGGACTCAGTCACACTGTCAACAGCGGGAGCCTGCCGTACAGACAGCTGTGGAAACACGTTCTAGAGGGAGTTCCATGTGTCTGCACACACTCTCTCATACTTCACTTAAGCCGCTGTGTCAATTGTAAGCATCCCAGCAGTTTTTGCACTTGCTTGCAAGCTCGTAATCACACATAGTAAGGGCATCCTATGCATTTTATATACCACAGACCCTTGATAGCCATCAATTTACATATGTATGTAAATATATTAAAATATATGTAAATATGCATGTGAATCTATATGTTTACATATATGTAAATACGTGTTTGTATATATCAATCAATCTATTTTTATATGTGTGTGTATGTATGTATATCATGCTTCACACATAAGCCACATAAATGGTCAAACTCACAACCACACAAACTCGTGAAGAGCCATCCCGACAACCACAACCACTATTCACACAGTTTTGCTGACATAATAACCTCCTATCACATCACACACAACCTCAGATACAGCTGAGCTGAATGCTCCAGACACAGCCTCACAAACAGCACCCCACAGCCAGCAACAGTCTGAGCTCAATCCCAGCCACCCATCACTCAGGCTGGTTCCTAGACACGCCAGCTTCCACACTCATATCAAGCCGCATGTGCACAACCACACAGCTGACAGAATGATAATCACAGTCACGGCCCCTGACAAAGACCCTCTCTTCCATCCTGTCACCTACACAGAGGGAAATCTCACCTACACATCACTCAGACGTCCCCCACCCCACCCCAACTCCCTACACTTCCACAGCCCCACAACAGACTCTCCATTGCACACTACTGCTAGTCCACAGCAGCTATGCGGCTCTCTCCCTCCCCCCCGACAGGCTCACACACAACTCCACAGCTCACGGTTCCACACACACCGTTTTTGAAACAGCCTAGCTTCTGGACACAGTCACATATAGCCCCCATGCACCATCACAGTGAGACACAACCAGAAGGTCCACCATAGTCACATATCACTAACCTAGTCCCACCCACTGGCCACCTCCCTGACATACACACACACACATGCACACACACACACGCACACATGCCTTCCTACAGGCAGAAAGACAACCGCAGCCACACAGCCTGATCAACACTCACATGTTCCACTCCCTGCCATATAGACAGCCATACACGTGCACATCAGCCACAAGCAGAAAGTTGGCCACAGTCACACGATCCCTTGTTCCCATAAAAGTACTGTAAACAGTCCAACTGCCAATACACACACACTGCAGACACACAGTCAGAAGTTGCCCACATTTTCCCATCACTGAAACTGGGACACATCATTCACACAGTCTCTGCGCCCCATCACAGGGTTACACGGACAGTGCATGTCCCTTTCACACTCAGACCCGCAGCCTGACACCAGCGCTCTGTTCTCCCTCTGTCGCTCTCACACGCACACTCACATACACACGAGCCCCATACACCATCTCATACACACGCACTCAGGCAGGAGGCCCCCATCACGGTCCAGTTCCCCAAGCCACACAACCTTACCCCTAGCTGGCCGGCCCCACCCCGCGCACCCCACTTTCCCGGCTGTCACAAGGGCCCCCTCCCCTTAAGTCCCGCCCCGTTCTCACTCCTGTTTACCTGCGCTCAGGGGAGGGGGTGCGGCCCCAGCCGGGCCTCCAGACCCCGGGGAGCCCCAGGGCGGGGCAGGTGGCGTCCCGCGGCCCCGAGGCCCCGAGGCCCGTTCCCGTTGCCAGGCGAGCGGGCCCAGGGGTGCGCCAGGCCCAGCCC